CTCTGCTTCACTGCCTCCAGGACAGGGAGCACACACAGGCTGGGTAGGCACCATCACCTCATCACCTACCTTTTAAAATATCACTACCAATAAGCAATAACACAATGTATTCGTTCTGTGAGCCACAGGCCAAACCCAGGGATTGACAATGACATGAACACAAGAAGGTGCTAGAAAAAGCCAGAATCCTCCACATTTTCAGGAAAGGGCATCTGAAGTAGTTGTTACTGAAGTGGAAGAGAAAACACAAAGTGTGGAAAGTGTTTGATGGCTATGAGGCAGACAACACCAGATCCCCAAAGGTGGAAATGTCAGTGGCTAGGAGCCCAGGGGAAAAGCCTCAAAAAATATGGTGCCATAATGTGTACCACAGGCCAAGACCAAAGTTCAACTCCCTGTCCCAGGTGCTGAAGTCTCACTTTGTGAAGCCACAAAGACAAGAGTGACCAACAGGCATGGCCCTAGCTTTGCTTACATCAGCAGAGTCAGTGAGAGTTCCCAGCTCTAACATACCCAGGAGAGGGTCCAAAAAAAAAAAGCTCTGGCTTCCTTTATGGAGGCATTTAGAAAAAAAAAAAAGTAAGAGCCTAACACACATTTCCTCTAGCTTTGAAGAGTCTGAAGAGTCTTAAAAGATTCAAAAGATCCAAAAAGCAAGTTCTAGGTCAGCCAGAGACCCTGGCTCAAAACCAAAAAACAAAAGAATAATAAAGGTCAAGATTGAGGCTTTGGGCAAAACTATCCTAAAGCCTCAAATTCAAGGGCAGCCTTTGTCACAGAGTGAAATTCCATCTCAAAACACCAAAACCAACCATACAACAAAAGGCAATAGACACTTCTGGAAACATAGTGCCTCCCCAGAAAGTCAGGGTCTCATAGTCTTAAGCTCACTATATTGACCAGATGAACACTAAACTCAGAGCTTCTCCTGCCTTATCTCCCCACTTTATTGTGTGTGTGTTTGTTTGTTTAAGAAAATACTGATGCCTATCTACTCAGGTTTTTTTTTTTTGTTGTTTTTGTTGGTGGTGGTTTTCTGTTTGTTTGTTTGTTTGTTGGAGACAGGGTTTCTCTGTGTAGTTTTGGAGCCTGTAGAACAGGCTGGCCTCAAACTCCCAGAGATCCACCTGCCTCTGCCTCTCAAGTACTGGGATTAAAAGTGTATGCCGCCGCCTCCGCTGAGGCCTACCTAATCTTTTTTCTCTGACATGAATGAATGTCAACATCACTTTTTCTGAGCCTACGATATGTGAAGGCAGCCACCAGGGGTCCTCCTGTGACCAGAGAAGCCTAACTTTAAAGGGACAGCAATGGACACTTGTGCGGATTTATCCCTCTGTTCCTCTTCACATGTCAAATACTTTACTTAGAAGTTGCTGCATCAGTGGAACCCAAAGGTCAACAGCCTAAGAGGAAGAAAGCCAAGAGCCTTGGTGTGTTCTTAGCATCCTTCCTTGCTCAAGGGTCTGCCTCTTCTATGTATAGTGACTTCCCGGGTAAATGACAGGTTCCACCCACAGGTCCCACAGGTCCATCCACAGCCTGAGCACTTACCAGTGATGGTGAGTAGTGAGCACTGTGGTCAGCTTTACATGGTGCTTTTTCACGGTTTCTATAACCTACAGGCATGGGGGAGGCAGAATAAAGGCTCAGTCACACTCTGGTCTTTGTTCACCTGACTGTGTAGTGGGTGCCCAGCCCTCTTCCCACCCTTGATGACTGACCACTCTTCAGACAACAGACAGAAGCTTTTTTTCTCTCTCCATCAATTTAACTGTTCCATCCCACCCATCATCTCCCTGAGCCCGGCCAGCTCTGACTGAGCAAGAACTTGGGAGATGAGTAGGGTCTCAGGATTCACACATGTCCAGGCACAGAGGTTTAAAAGTGTATCAGGCTTGCCAGAGAGGCCTGTGAATTCTCCTACCCTTCTCACTGCCCCATTTACCAGTGGCTAGGCACAACTTCATTTTGAATGCACTAATTTCCACTTCCCTTCCACACAGCCATAAGACCCTGTGGCTGTAACTCAGGTGGACAAAGCCAGGGTGCTGGGTGACAAAGCACAGGGAGCCAAGAAGAGCCACACATACACACCTTCTGGGGTTGCACTGGGTCCACAATGGCAGCCTCCTTGGTGTCCTCATCAATGACCAGGTACATGTAGTTGTCAGTCAGGGCAGGCAGTAGCTCAACCTTCATCATGTCTTGCTCCACAGTCAGACTTTTCCTGAAATCTGTGTGATACAACAAGATTCCCAGCAGGGCCTGACCTAAATAAACACATAGGAGGAACCTCAGTGTTCTGCAAGGACACCTTACCCCTTGTACCCAGTGGTTTGACCCCTGGCTTTTTCAAGCTCCTTTGAGAGAATATCCTATTCCACTACAGTGGAAAGTAGAGACTAAGTCAGCCCATCTCACATTTATTATTATTATTATTATTATTTGGCAGAGGAGCTTTTCAGGTTTTTGGAGGGGTTTGTTTGGTTGCTTGCATTTTTTAAAAAATAGATCTCCCTCTATATGTCTGTCTAGTCCAAAACTCACTATGTAGTCCAGACTGGCCTTAAATTCAACAATTCTGCCGGGCTTGGGTAGCACATGCCATTAATCCCTGCATTCAGAAAGCAGAGGCAAGCAGTTCTCTGTGAGTTTAAGACCAGCCTGTCTACAGAATGAGTTCCAGGGCAGGCTCTAAAGCAATACAGAGAAACAACCCTGTCTCAAAAAACAAAAACAAACCAGCAATCCTGTCTCAGCCTCTTTTTTTGCAGTGGAAGAGACTCATACATGTAGGGGCTCACACATGCAAGGCAAGTGAGCCACACTCAAGCTAGACTGGGAATCTTGATATTTTTTTTCAAGAGTTCTTACAGGCTTTGCTACCTGCCTGTGGTGTGACTCAATCCTAAGGAAGGCAGAATGAAGCACCACAGCATGGCTGCTCACCCTCCAGTTACGGCCTCTGCACTAACAAAGGTTCAATTCTCTGAACTTACAACTCTTCTCAGGCCTCTATCCAGATGAGAAAACAGTATTTTATACTAAATGGGCAGCACAACAGAAAATACACATAGGATCAACTCCTGATATTAAGAAACTGGTTGTCTGAGACTCAAGCATGAAGGACAGGTCAATTATTCAAGCAAGGACTGGGGTGCACCAAGGAGGTATCAAGGGTCCAAGGGACAAAGGTATATTCTGCTGTACCCAGCCAAAATATTTTCAGCAGCAATGTCTCATTCAACCTGAAGACACATGGGGCTACCAAAAAAGGTCTCTGTCTTGGCTTTAAAGAGGGGAAAGCCACAAAAAAAGAAGACAGTGGCATTCTGACTCTCTCTCCGGAATACAAAAAACAACAGCTTTGATCCTGTGATAGATAATACTTTCAACTTTAATAACCATTGCCAGCAAAACTAAGCAAATGGTACTGTTTGTTTCGTAGTGCCTCGGGTGTCCCAGTATTTTAAAAGTGCTAGAGAAGGAAGTGTTCTGTTGCTGCATTAAACCCTGGTTCCCCATTTCTCCTTTTTGGCACAACAGCTGGGCATTTTCCAGACCCTTCTCTTCATATTCAGCAAAATAAACATTTCTGTAGGATCAGGTCTCTGTAATATTTGAACTCCGTAAGTCCCGGCACTGTCCAAGCCCATGGAGGGCAGAAGGGTGAAAACAGGAGAGTATGACCCCATTTATATATTTCCTGGCAGAACACTGCATGGCTAAATAACATATTACTGTTAATGCTCAGCCCCAAAAGAGCCTGATGGTAACCTAGAGAAGATGTGATAACTCCTAAAGAAGGAATTCACATACTGAGGGCACCTCCAGAAACCTTTATCCTAGCTACACCTAGTCTGACACTGCCCAGAAGATGCTCCCAGCTCCTTAGTTCGCAAGTAGGGACATTTTGCTTGAGTCAAGGTCACAGACCTGCAACCTTTTGTTCAAGACCAAAACCACAGACACATTTTATTTTGCTCATAACATTCTTTAAAACTCAAGACTTTCAGAGAGTTGCCTCTTCTCACCGGGCGGGCTTTTGCGGCACCAAATGCTGAACTGCGGACTGCTAATAAGTGGCGCTACCCAGCAGTAACTGTACCCTCGCCTAGTTTTTAAACAGCCTTCAGCAGCGACACTAAGATGTATTCCTTAACTGGAGAGATATGTGCTTCTGGGGTTCTCAGCGAACAGGCTTCTTAGTAAAGATGGACCACGCACTTTGAATCACGATTGCTTCCAAGTTCCCGGCGAACTGGACTCAGGCCGACCAGCTCCGGGACGCTGGCAACCCACTGTCGCCACATCAGCTGGATGCCAAGAGGAAAAGCACCTGGCTTAGAAACTGAGGTCGCGACCCTAGAAACGGAGTCCGACTCCGGCCGGGTGGGAGCAGATGCCCGCCCTTTACCCCAGGCCACGGACCCTGACAGCGCCGCTCGCCTATGCCAGCCACCTACTCCTCGGCTCTCAACACGCCCGGCCCCACTTCTTGCCCGCCCGACGGCGCTCAGCACCTGCGACTGGAGACAGCTCGAGCTCGCCCAACCGACGTCCGGCCTGCCGGCACCGGGCAGCGCCGCGTCAGCGCCCAGACACACTTACCCAGATCGCGGCGCGCGCAGGCGACTCCCAGCGCTGACAGGCTCCACAGACACCGAGGCCCGCGACCCAGCACCATGACCCACCGGGTGCAGAGCCGGGTGGCAGAGTTCGCAACTCCAGCGTCGAGGGCATCAACACTGGCGTTGGCGACTGTAACCAATCAGTGCCCTCCTCGCACTAGTCGCAACCAACCAGCTCCTGGTCTTTAACCAAACGCCGCGCCCTCAAGCCAACAGTGCCCGCCCATAAAGCTCACAGCCAACCAGTGTCTGTCTCGCGCCACCGTGCCGCCCCCAGCCAATCAGCAGCTCCTGCCCATAATGTTCCGTACCCTCCCCTGGAAGCCTTGGCCCGGATACCGAATCTGGAAGTAGGCGTAGGCGGTGAAGGGAGGCAGAGCGTACTCCTCCTCGTCTCTTCCGGGCCGTTGTCCACGCGCAGAGACCTTTAGCTGACCTCAGCGTCCAGCTACCGCGCAAGAACGAGCGGGCTGCTTCGGCCCGAACAACGTCCTGAGGCAGCGTGTCCCCACGAGGCCACCGTAGTCCGGGAAGTCTACGTCACGTGACTTAAGGTTGTACCATGGCTTCTCCCAAGCCACTGTCTCGCTTCTGGGAGTGGGGCAAGAATATCGTGTGCGTCGGGAGGAACTACGCAGACCACGTCAAAGAGATGCGCAGCGCGGTGCTAAGCGAGCCGGTGCTTTTCTTGAAGCCGTCCACCGCGTACGCGCCCGAGGGCTCACCGGTGTTAATGCCCGCTTATTGCCGAAACCTGCACCACGAGGTAGAGTTGGGAGTGCTCTTGGGCAAGCGTGGTCAAGCCATCCCTGAGGCCGCCGCCATGGACTACGTGGCCGGCTACGCCCTGTGCCTGGACATGACTGCCAGAGATGTGCAGGAAGAGTGCAAGAAGAAGGGGCTGCCCTGGACTCTGGCCAAGAGCTTCACGGCCTCCTGCCCTGTCAGCGCCTTCGTGCCCAAGGAGAAGATCCCTGACCCTCATGCCCTAAGACTGTGGCTCAAGGTCAACGGTGAGCTCAGGCAGGAGGGCAAAACTTCCTCTATGATTTTTACCATCCCCTACATCATCAGCTACATTTCCAAGATAATGACCTTGGAAGAGGGAGACCTTATCTTGACTGGGACGCCAAAAGGAGTTGGGCCAGTTAAAGAAAATGATGAGATCGAGGCTGGAATAGACGGGGTGGTTAGTATGAAGTTCAAGGTGGAAAGGTCAGAAAACTGAGTGTTTAACTAAATGATAATCTTAATGAAAGTCTAAAAAGTTTGTCATTAGAAAAGAACTAGACTAGAAATGGAAATAAGAATAACCAAGGTAAAGGATATGTAATGCTTTCCAAGAGGAGATGTACTAAACTCGGAGAAGTTATAGTTTTCTTCCCTAAAACTGAACTGCATAAGACTTTTCTGTAAATCATTTTGAAGCCCCATAGCTCTGGACTTAAATAACTGCAAAGGAAAGTAATTCATTAATAATATTAACCTTTAAGAAAGCTTTTCACACAGAGCACTCCAGTCGTTCTTACTAGGGAAAGAACCAATCGAGCAATTGGTGAAGTCCTGCCCTGTTTATTTTGGGTATATTATATATATTGGGCTGTGGCTTCTGAGTTTGGGAGATAATTTTGAAATTGTTTACCAAATAAACACCTTTTCTTGTGTGATGTAAAAGTGTACTGTTTTTCTAAGTCATTTTTCCCCCTGGGGCTTCAGACTTTGGCCTTTGGCTCCTAAGCACTATCTTTAACTTATTAACCAAGGGAACCCTTCCTCCACCCTAGGAGAGCCACTGGCCAGAAATGCTGCAATTGCTCTTTCCTGCACCCTTCCTGATAAAAAGTCTATCAGGATACACAGCACTTTCAGGACCCAGTCTTCTGCAATTAGGCCATGCTTCTGTGAGGATACAGTCTGCTGGCCCCTTTCAGGAGACCTGCTACATCTCTAGTAATTTATCAGTACTCTAGGCATTATGCCAACCATAGTTCATTCCATGTTCCTGTGCATTTTGTGTTTTTTTTTTTTTTTTTTTTTTTTTTTTAAGCAAAGCTGTGAAGTTGGTATTGTTATCCCCGCCATCCTGATGACAGTGTAGACTTAGAAGCTAGGGCCAAGTTGTAAAGAAATTGTCACAAGCTCAGAACCTGAAGTTTTGACCACATCATAAGTAGTGTCATATAAGTAGGTATATAAGAGAATTTAAACACTTAGGAATTCTGTGGGTCCAATTATGATTTATTATGAAGTCTCGTAATGATATTTGTTTAATAAATACCGTGATTTGTTTGTTTTTCAAGACAAGGTTTCTCTGTGTAGCTTTGTAGACCAGGCTGGCCTGGAATTCACAGATACCTGCCTGCCTCTGTCTCCAGAGTGCTGGTATTAAAGGCGTGTGCCACAACTAGTTGGCCCATGTTTTTTTTTTTTTTTTAATGGAGTCTCATCATAGCTCAGGATGACCCGAAACTCATGTTCCGTCTGACCTAAGTTTTCCATTATTTTGTCTGTTATTAGTTTATCTAACTACTTACAAGTCAATGTTTTTTTTTTTTTTAATACAGATGAGTTAGGAATTTTAGATAAGAAAAAAGGAACAAAGCACGTTAAGGTTCATCTACCCAGAGGCATTTATACATTTGGTATAAATTCTTCCAAATCTGTAAATGTAAATGGATATTATTTTAAGTAGAATTTGCTTCCATATAACTCCCCCCCCAACACACACACACACACACACACCAAGATGGGGTTTATATGTATAACATTCCTGGCTGTTCTGGAATTCGATTTGTAGACTAGGCTAGCCTAGAACTCACAGATCTGTCTACTTCTGCCTCCCAACTGCTGAGAGGCACCGTTGCCCCTTTTTTATTTTTTTTTAAACAGGGTCTCACCATGTAGCTTAGTCTCCCCTGTACATCATGATCACCACCGTACAATTTTCCAACCTGGTTTTTACACTGGCAGTGGTGACTTCCATATCAGTCAGCACCCTTCTGCAATATGATTTTCATCCATTATGAAAGAATCTAGGTCAGTCCCCTGGTTTTAGGGTTTTTTTTTGGTTTTGTTTTGTTTTTTTGAGACAAGGTTTCTCTGTGGTTTTGGAGGCTGTCCTGGAACTAGCTCTTTTAGACACCAGGCTGGTCTTGAACTCACAGAGATCTGCCTGCCTCTGCCTCCTGAGTGCTGGGATTAAAGGCTGTCACCACCACCACCCAGCTCAGTCCCCTGGTTTTAGACATTAGGATTTTCTGGTGGAATCAGAAAATTGTTAATTCCTGATTCCCATGGCTGGATTCCCAAATTCAAACAGCGAGCTCAAAGGTTATACCCGCCCATATTGAAAATGTACTGTCTAGCAAGTACAAGGTTCAGCTGAGAAACATCTGCCAAGTTGACAGACCAATGAAGCAAGCTGTAGGCACAAGCTAGTGCCAAGAATGTACAGTGCCCATGGGGTCAGTGTCCACCAAACAAGGAATGAGCTTTGTGACAAACATCTGACGTCATCGTTACAGATGTAGCACACAAAGTCCTTGGACACAAGAATCAAAAACTGGATCCAGTTCCCACAAATCCTTACTGCTAAAAATCACAGTAACCCTCACACCCAGAAGATACATCTCTCTTAACTTATTTTAAATAAATAACCTATAAAAAAGTTGAAGGATTCATCCAAAAAAGTCAAATTACCCTTCAGTAGACTCAACAATTGTAATTTTCAAATATGGAGAGATGGTTGAGAGGTTAAGAGGACTGTCTGCTCTTGCAGAGGCCCAAGTCTGATTCCCCAGCATCCACATGGCAGCTGACAACTTTCTGTAACTCCAGTCCAAGAGAATTAGATACCCTGTGATCTCCTTGGGCACTACATTCATTGTGCACAGACACACAGGCAGGCAAAATACCCATACACATAAAACAAAAATTTAAAACACAAAAATTGTTGGCCAGTCATAGTGGTTCATGCCTTTAATCCCAGCACTTGGGACCACTATGTGGTCTACATAGTATATTTCAGGACAGCCAAGAATATATAGACTGTCTCAAAAAGAAAAAAATTGTTATTTGCTAATCACACATAGAAAAAGTTCATAATATTACTCTATGCAGAATATGTTTTGACATCTGTTAGTGATTTTTTTTTTTTTTAAATGTATTGAATCACACACCTTTAATTCCAGCACTCAGAGTCAGAGGCAGGTAAATTTCTGTGAGTTCAAGGTCAGCCTGGTCTACATAGGGAGTTCCAGGCTATCCAGAGCTACATAGTGAGACCCTATCTCAAAAAGTAATAAAAATTTCATTGGGTATCTATAAAAAGTGAGCATTAGTCCAGGTCCAGTTTCACAGACCCTGAAATTCCTGTTAATTCATGAGCCTAAGACAGGAGGATAGCAAGTTCAAGATTTAAGCTACAGAGTGAGCATACAACTAGCCTGTGAAATTTAGTGACACTATGTCTCAAAATGCAAAGTTGAAAAAGAAAAAACAGTGGAAATGGAGAGAGAGGACTGCTCAGAATTCAGTTAGTGATGAAGTGCTTGCTTAGTATTCATGAGATCATGGGTTCGAGCCCAGCATCATATAAACAGAATACTTAGCACTCAGGAGGATCAGGAATTCGGCTACATACTGAATTCAAGGCCAGATCAACATGAGACCCTGAGGGCTGTGTGTGTGTGTGTGTGTGTGTGTGTATGTATACATCTGTGATAAAGTACTTGCCTATCACTATCATGTATAAAACTCTAGGCTCCATCTTCAGTATTAGAGGGGGGGAAGTATCATACATTCACTTAATGTCTTATGAGCATTTTCTCAGGCTAGTGAACACAGGTATGCATATTCATCTAATTACTTTTAATTAGTGTATCTTCTTCAATCACATGTCCCAGAAGCAGAGTATAAGATGGGGATTGCTGTCCAGGTAAGTTTTTGAAGGGGTGCTCTCAGGAGCATGGTGAAAAAACTAGAAAGTGCAGAGAACAACACATATAAAACAGGTAGGAGAGAACTGGAATGAAACTCAGTGGTCAGATGACTCCAATTGGAGAGAACACTAACGTAGTCGCAGGGTCATGGTGCACTCTGCCTCCTTCAGGACCTCATCAGGCATCACTATTCCTCACAGAAGCTAGGAGACCTCTGCACACTTGGAATTAATGGGAGCCAGGTGTGGGCCAACATGCCCCACAGTTTAGTTTCTAATGTGTTAGACACATTAGAATGTCTATATTATGTGGTGGAAACCAGTGGTGAGAGAGCCAGCATAGCTGAAGACATTGGCACAGGAACCAAGCTGGTACTTACAGACCTACCCTGGTACAGAAGCTAGACCTTTGACATGTTAGAGTGGGTTCCCATGAGGGCCACCATTTTGGTTTGGGTCAAAAATGTTTGGTTTTCCCCTATTGGACTTCTGGGAAGTGATTGGATCAAGAGAGCCTGTCATCATCAATGATTAGTCCATTGCTGGGCTGTTGAGGTGTATGTGAAACTGAGGACACAGCCAGGCATGGTGATGCACCTTTCTAATCCTAGCACCTGGGAGGTAGAGATAGTAGCATCAAGAAATCTTCAGCAGATAGTAAGTTCAACACTATCCCTGTAATCTCAGTACTTAGGAGCCTGAACAAAAGGACTTAAGTCCAAGGCCAGCCAGCCACACAAGAAAATCCTGTTGAGGAATACAGAGAGAGGAACTAGGAGGTAAGACCCAGCAGAAGGAAGAGATTCTTGGGGCATGCTCTTGGGAACCTATCCTCTCTCTCCTTTCCAGTCTCTATGAGGAGAGCAGCTTTGCTCCATATGCCACCAGTCATAATATTTAGCCTCAAGCAAAAGCACTGGGTGAAGGGATAATGTCTAATATCATGAGCCACAGTGAATTCTCCTTTAAGTGTATTTCTGAAACTACTATAGCAACAGAAAGCTAACTAACAAGCCCACAGCCAATATCAGATATGAATCCTGCTATAGAACTCTCACTTCTCTTTCCCCAGATAGACTGCTCCAGCTCTTCATCCCTCCTTCCTTGTCATCCTGATAACTTGCTCATAACATGATCCATATCTCCCTCCTCGAGGAGGAGAAAGCACTGTATCAATTCCAACTTGCTTGTGTAAATCAAGTCCTTCACTACCTCATTTATTAGGCAAACCACCAAGACCGCATATAAACCACTGGATAAGGCATGTGCACTTCCAACACCAGCTTCATAATAGAGCTCAATGTACTCACTTTTCAGTCTGTGTGCAGGACAGTGGGTCAGATTTGACGTTTGCCAAACTAGGGTAAGTCTTACTGAAGGGCTGCTTCCTGAAACAAGTGGCTCAGATCCGTGTGGGGCTGAACACTGTGCCCTGTGTTGTTTCAGAGAAGAGTAGGATGAAAAGCAGCTGCCACCCTTTTGTCTTGAGAAAATTCCCTCTTCAAAGTTCCTGGGACTCAGACATCACTCCTGTAGCTCTTGAAGTTGTCTCCTCCCCAATGATTCATAAGTGCCAAGCTTACATCAGCAAGCCTTCGCATGCACCAGGTAGCTCCAGAGTGTCATCATGAAAGGCAGGGCCAGCTCCTGCACGGTTTTGCCATCTCTCCTTTCACTGCATTCTGTCAAGTGATAGGTGCTACCACACTACAGGGAAGACAATTTGAAAGGTTCC